CCTGAGACTGAGGGGTTTCCTAGGACATGGGCCTATCAGTGCTAAAATCAGACAATCCTGGGAAAATCAGGACAGTTGATCACTCTACCTTTAATGTATGTAGCGTGGGTTCTGGGGCAGAAGAGGAAGACGCTGCCTTTTGTGGATGTCCACTGTGGCCGGTTATAAAAACTCCAGGAAGGAAAGAAGAGTGAGTAAGGACTTTTGTTGAACCTAATGATGGGCCTGGGGCTGAGACTTTCAAATAAACAGGTAGCCAGAGGGATCCCACTTCAGGATCCTACTTCTGGAGTTCTCTTAATTTTATCTTTCTTTCTTTTTTTTAAGGAATTAAGAAAAGCATGATGGAATAAAAAGGAACATTCCAAATAGCGGAGTTTTAATAAGGAGCTAAGTGAGTGGGAAAAATACAGATCTTAGAACCGACAGGAAAAACTAGACAAATAAATACCTGTTACCTTGAAACAGTTACCTTGAAAACAGTCAGAAATAGAGCTACTTACTATTAAGAGAAATAAATTAGACCTAGAAGTTAAGGTCAAACTCTCTGGAGGTTTTCTAATGCCAAGTTAAAATGCAGATGATTCAAGAAGTTTGGTAAAACAGCAGCAGATTAACCAGCTAGAGAATTGTTTGAGAGATTTGTGACATGCATTTGTTATATTGTTTGAAGATACTCAGTTCTGCTATAGAAGAAAATAAATGGGATGAATGAACTAAGATGTGATAAGTATAGAAAAATGGTCAGTAAGTAGAACACATACATATTAAAAGTAGATGCACGTTAGAAACAGATGGAAGGGCAAAGAGATATGTAATAATTACGAGGCACTAGATACATGAGGAGTCCTGATGGTGCAGCAGTTAAGCACTCAGCTGTTAATCGAAAGGTCTGCTTCCATAAAGGTTACAGCCTTGGAAACCTATGGGGCAGTTGTATTCTGTCCAACAGGGAAGCTATGAGTCAGAATTGATTAGACAGTAACTGGTTAGATATATGAGGAGGGGTCCCTGGGTGGCGCAAATGGTTAAGCACTCTACTACTAGCCAAAAGGTTGGTGGTTTGAACTCACCCAGAGGTGCCTGGGAAGATAGGCCTGATGATCTGCTTCCAAAAAGTCAGAGCCTTTGGAATGTGTTACCCCCTCTATGGAGCAGTTTCACTCTGTACATATGGGGTTGCCATGATTCAGAATCAGCTTGACTGCAACAACAAAAGATATGAGGGAATGAATTGGAATTGACTCAACTGCAACTGGTTTGATTTTGGTTTTAGATTTATGAGGGGAAGTCCCTGGATGATGCAAACAGCTAACACGTTCAGCTCTTTACCGGAAGTTTGGAGGTGCAAGTCCACCCAGAAGCAACTCAGAAAAAAAGCCTGGTGACCTACTTTGGAAAAATCAACCATTGAAAACCCTATGGAGCACAGTTCTACTCTGACACACGTGAGTTGGAATTGACTTGATGGCAACTTGTAGATATATAACGCATCTGTAGCCTCGAGTACTTGCCCTTGCATCTTTCCAATAGATCCAGTGTGTGTCACTGGCTTAGGGAACCTTCTATATGTGGGGCCTCTTGTTTGAACCTCAATTCAGTGTTACAAGAAATACAACCAGAACGCTCCTTAGAAGCAAGGATTGTGAGACTGGTTCATTTACTTTGGACACGTTATTAGGAAATATCAATCACTAGAAAGGGTTTTATGATTGGTAAAGTGGAGGGTCATCAGAAATGAGAGAAACTCTCAATGAGATGGATTGCCACAATAGCTACAACAGTGGGGACTCAAAAGTAGCAATGATCATAAAGATGGTGCGGGACTGGCAACATTTTGCTCTGTTATACATAAGGTTGCCTTTTTTTTTTAAATCAGGATTCAATCAAAATTTATGCATTATGTTGTCTTTTTTTATTTTATAATAGTTCGCCACTCTTCTTTCCCCACAACATTGACTTTTTGAGAAGTCCAGGCCAGTTATCCTGTAGAATGTCTCATATTCTATATTTGTTTGAGTGTTTCCTCATGATGTTATTTTACTTTTTTCTCTAACTCCCCTATTTCTGGTAAGCTGGAAATTATGTTAAAGTCTTGCACTTAAACTAAGCCAAACTCTCTTGCCCTATAGGACAGGGTAGAACTGCCGTATAGAGTTTCCAAGGAGCAGCTGATGGATTCAAACTGGCAATCTTTTGGTTAGCAGCCATACCTCTTAACCACTGCACCACCAGCGCTCCAAATAGAATTCTATTCCAAGGTTAAAAGTAGACTCATAGTGACTCTATTAAACAGAGTAGAATTGCCCCATTTGGTTTCCAAGGAACAGCTGGTGGATTCAAACTGCTGACCTTTCAGTTAGCAGCCAGCTCTTAATCACTGTACCACCAGGGCTCCAAAGGCTTGATCAGCTTCAGGTTAAACATTTTTTGGCAAGAAAACTTATGTTGTTGTTGTGTGCCATTGAGTTGATTCCAGCTCATAGCGACCCTGTAAGACCGAACAGAACCGCCCCATAGGGTTTCCTAGGCTGTAATCTTTATGGGAGCAGATTGAGGGGTCTTTTCTACCGCAGAGCTGCGAACAGCTACCTTTCGGTTAACAGCTGAGGGCTTAACCACTTAGCCACCAGGGCTCCTTACAATACGTCATTAAATAAAACAAAAACAAAAACAAAACACTTTGCCGTTCAGTCAATTCCAACTCATAGCGACCCTATAGGACAGAGCAGAACTGCCCCATGGGTTTCCAAGGAGTGCCTGGTGGATTCAAACTCCTGACCTTTTGGTTAGCAGCTGAGCACTTTATAGGTGGTGCTTTATTCTTTACATGAGGCACAGATTGTCCCACCATTATTGATGCTAATTTTGATCACTTGTTTAAGGTGGTGACAACCAGATTTATTTATCCTTTGTAAAGGTATATTCTCCCCTCTGTAATTAGCAAGTACTTTGTGGGGTAATATTTTGGAAACTTATGTTCATCAGTAACATTTCACATAATGATTTTAGCATACATTGATGATCTTTGCAGGAATTAATTATCAATCGAAGATGATAAAATGGTAATTTTCTAATTCTTTCATGTCTTCTGTATTTATTATGACATTCTTCTGTAAAAACCAGCTTTCCCTCATCAACTACCACTTCTCTTAAAAATGAAGGATAAATGCTTAATTTCCTTTAATTACACCAATTCTGAGTAAGGAGACTAAAGAGTTGATGTAGTAATAGTCACTTCCTATGGTGGCCCATTAGTTTATTATTTCTCTTTTTATGAGTATCATTATGGACTCATAGATTTTATTCAATATGTTACAATAATTACAGATATTCTTTTCAATACTCAAATTGTCTATTTGCTCAAAGAGAGCTGTTTCAAGTTAGCTCCAGTGTTATTGATAGTTCTTATTTGTCTTTGCTTTTTGGCATAATAAGAAGTCCAATGGTCACCTTGTACTTCTGCCCCAGTCATTTTTCAAATAAGCTCTGTAAAGAACCTCTTTTTCAGGACTTAGGTGACAGATGTTGGGTAAAACTTTATATTCATAACACTGGTGGGCTGATAGCTTAGGTAGAGAATGAAACTTGGCATATACGGATTACTCTTTTTTACAACTTTTAGTTTATTACTTATTGCAGTCCCTTATGTTTCTTTGCTATTAGGCGATCGGCTCCTTAAGAAAAAGACCTCCCTTATTCACCTGCATAACTTCAGCACCTAGCTCAGGCCCCGACACCTCCTAGGCATTAAATAAATGTTAGGGGAACCTGTTGTATCTATCACCCCATAATTGCTATGTGTGGAAATTCATCTTGCCAGAATTCTTTTACAATCAGAGTAACTAGCTTTATGATTTTAGTGTATGGTCTTCATGTCAAATATTGTGACTGCGTAGGAGTCTTCTTTGTTTACATCCGCGTTCTAGGATGCATTCAATTTAAGTGTTATTTGCAAACGGGATTAGATTAATTTGTTAAGGGATGCACCTAATTTTTTTGCGGCATGGTTTCTTTGCACTTAAACTAAGCTAAATTTTCGTTGCCCTATAGGACAGAGTAGGTCCTATAGGACAGAGTAGAACTGCCCCACAGGGTTTCCAAGGAGCGGCTGGTGGATTCGAAGGGCCAATTTTTTGGCAGCCGTAGCTCTTAACCACTGCGCCACCAGGGCTCCAAATAGAATTCTATCCCAAGATTAAAAGTTTTTTTGTTTTAACTAATTAAATTGCCTTTTGTCCCTTTTTACTTAACTGCTTTACATCTGCAAAAGCCAGTAGTTGGTTGGTTTCCATTTAATTTCTAGGCATAAAACTATTGCTAAAAATCCACGTAACCGTCTCCACAATTTGGTTTTTAAAAAAATGTCAAGTCAATGAAATATCTCATTATACTGATGTACAAGGAAGGTCTCATTCTTGTATATCTCGCTCTTTCCAAATATTTTGTGATCGGCACTCTGTTTTCAAAGCTCTTTGCAAAACTAAACAAAAGGATCCTAAGGAGACACTGGGCCCAGGGAATGCTTTCAGCTGAGTCCCAATCTCGCCTCTCAAAGCGTGGGACGGGAAAGGCCACGCTACAGGAAATAACTGTGGGCTGCCAAAGGCCGCAGGAGGCCGCCCTGGCTCGGGAAGGAAGGCGGGCTCGCCTCTGTACACCCGAGAGGAGCCCTGTGCTATCAGGCCGCGCGCCCACCCCGTCCGCCCTGGGAACAGCCGACGTCGCACTGCCGAATCTGGGTGCCACGGGCGATTCAGGCCGGCCCCTTCCGGTTCAGTCCTGGCGCGCACCGGGCGCAGGGGTGGGGAACTCGGCCGCGGCAAGTATGCAGCGCCTGCAACTGTTGCCGCGGCGGGGACTGCGGCTCTGGGCACTCCGCGCCTCGACAGGCCTGGCTGCCGCGACCCAAACCCCAGCCCTCCGCTACGGCCTCCGCCTCCCGTCCCGCCCCCGCGCACCGCCCGCCAGCCCCCGGCTCCTCCCCGGCCTCGCTCTCGCGCCCAGCCCCGGGCCGCAGAGCTGGGCAGCTGCCACCAGCGAAGACACGCCTTCGGCTAGCGCCGCGTCAATGGAGCGCCCCGGAGCGGGTGAGACCGGGCTGCCGAGCGGGTCGGGATGGGGCTAGAGGAGCCGCGGAGTCGTGGGCGCCGCTCTGCGATCGGCCTTGGGGAGAGCCCGGCCTCACCTCACCCTGGCGCCCCTAGCGCGTGGAGCCCGATCCTGTTGACCCCTGACCCTAAAAGAGAAGAACGCTGGCCTCGTTCAGAGCGTTCTTTCCCCTCCCTCTGAGTAGGACTCCATGTAACTTACTGAGAAACAGTGCAACCCGGGGTGTGATCACTGCTGCTTGTAATTATGCGTTTTAGTTTTTATTTAGTGAATGTATTGTTGTTACGGCGGGAGGCGAGGGATGTGAAACCACGTCCAAGTTTCACTTTTGTTTCTCCCTTTCTGATCTTTTGACCCTTATTATAAAGTTCATGCAAACATACAACTCCAGTGGTGTTTGTGTGGTAAACAAAACCCAGAGAAATCTCTTATATTTTATAAAATAAGCATTAAAGACCAAACCACCACTGTGTTACATTTAGGGTTTTATTTTAGGTTTGGAACTGATCTCTTTAAATTGGTGCCAGCTCTGTAGTGGAGTAAATGAATTTCCAGCTTCGAACTGAACCAGGAAGGCAGAATTAGGGGTTGGACTTCTGGGGAAACGGACCAAAAACCAATCAGAAAAAAGATGCTCTCCCAAGATTTTTATAGTATTAAAAGCGTAAAAATGGTAAAATATATGATACAAATAGTCAAACTAATACAAATATTTTTTACAATTGTTATGGGAATGGATTGATTAGGACCTAGTGGGCAGGTATAGAAGGTGTGAGTTTTTGAGATATTGTATGTATGAATTGATTTGATTTCAAGGAGTTACAGGAAAGAGATTGTTAACCAGAAAGTCACACTCCAATTCCTGGTTGTGTGTGGCCTTGCAATTCAGGACGTTGTTAGCACATCTGGGTCTTATCCTTATGCATTAATAAAGTGTAAGAAGTTTGTGGAGGTAATTATATCCTTACATTCCATTTCAAATATTAGCTTGCTTTGTCCGTTTCTCCATAGTAATTTGGATTGCAGTTTTACAGTATTCTCATTTTCTGAGGAAACCAAAACATAGAGAAGTAAAGTGATTTGTTGATTATCACAGAATTTTCAACAGATACCCAGATGTAAGATATTATTTTTTATTTATTTATTTATTTATTGTACTTCAGGTGAAGGCTTACAGAACAAATAGTTTCTCATGAAACA